TCAGCAGTGACTCTGTTTTGCAACCCATGTGAATGCTAGCTGGCTGGAAGTCTTCTTGGCCACCCTATTCAGGCAAAAACAGTGTAATCCATTTAGTCAGGGAGTACCGGGTACATGCCTAAACAGGCAACTAAGCTCTTTTTTTGCTGATCTGAAGGGTAGTAGGTGCCAGTGGGATGCATGTCAGGAGAATGATCGGTTTGAGCATGGCTTATTGTCCTGGTCTGTGCAATTGCTAGAATCTATCAACCTGAGAAATGCTAGGGTCGGGGAAGTCAAGGAGTTATATCCCCCAGATTCCTTTTTTAGAGAACCTCAGCATTTATAGGACGCACAATGAATTTCAAGGGAAGACAGTTACACGCATGTATTTTAGATCATTTGGAAGAGTCAGCCTTTAGCTGGGTGTGTCTACACAGTCTTTTGAGGACAGATACGAACTCATCCTACCTGTGCTCCAACTCAGTCAGCAACCGTGTCATTACAGTTCATGTTGCACTGAGCCCAGACAGATGTATGGACAGACAGTAGCATGACCTAAACCTCATTTCATTTGGAAAACACTCAAAATAAGCAAAACATAGCTGGGATCAGTCCCCCGAAGAAATAATTGAAATTGTTGTTCTTTTAAAAGTGGAGGCTGAGAATGTTCTAAAAGACCCAATTTGTGTGTTATTTTCAGCGTTAGAAAATGCGTAGTACCTACAGACTACGAGCAAGGATTGTATAGCAGAGAAAACAAATCACCAAAAGCTACCAAAACCAAGAAGGAAAACTGAATGAGATATGCCAGTTTCCAAATAGAATTTTTCAGTTACTGAACTGGGAGGAAATCCAAAGAATGACGTGTTTTGTCAGAAATAAATGTACACACAACTGGAAGGGATACAAAGCAAGATAATAAAAACATGTATAATCTCTGAGAAAGCTGGCGATACAGTAAGAGTTATGAAATCTGACAAAATACAGAGCCAGATCATTTGTAATACCAAGTACCAAAAGTTTAAAGAACTGTCTGATCCAAAAATAGTTCGTTTGTTTAATTAAATTACCTAAGATGTTAAAGGACAATTACACTCTTAAAGCGATTCCTGGCTAGGCTCGTTGTCTCAATAATTTCCAGATCAACTTGCTTACTTGATATACAAATGACCGTTGCTGCTGCTGCTACTGCTTCTTCTTCTTCTTCCTCTTTTTACCATGATATAGAGCCTGAACCACTAGGAGCCTGTTTGTGTTATAAACGTGAGTTGTAATAGTTTTTAATTGTGGGAATATTTCAAGGATGCGAGATATACTTTTTACCAAGAGTGCATTAAGAAGCTTTACATTACTGCATTTTAACCTTTTCTTGGATTTGAGCACTGGCAAAATCTCAGGTTTGAAAGTGTTTGTTTAAAATGACATTTAATGTATGTAGACTGTAGCATTGCCAATAATCTCCTGAACTGAGTGAGTTTTATTGGGTGATTCATAAAGAAAGTCAGACAAAGTATGCACAGTGGTATTGGAATGTGGGTGGGATCAAAGGAATGGTTTAGTGGAATATGTTTGTCTCAGGAAATCTTTCTGGAAAAAGATGGATTAATCCCATGAGAATATCAGTATATTCTCAAGTATCATTTATTGCAGTGACCCCAGTGAAAATAACAAAGTGGCAAAGCAAAATAAGAAAGCTGCATCACTCACCCTCAGATATTCCATTGGCAAGGAGACTTCAGCCGGACTTGTTGGGAGCAAAGGGCGGGGGAATGAATAAAGCTAATAAAACTGACATTGATTTAAAGGGACACTGTCTGCAATTCCAACACAGAGAAAAATCTATTTAAAAAAAAAATCTGTTCTTTAGTAAAGTGGCTGTAACATTGTTAGCTAAAGAAAATTTGTTTATTAATTGAACATATATAAGCCTGCTGAGCTGGATTTGTTGTGATTGTACATTGGCATGCATATACCTCACATTCTCTGCACTGTGCACATCTCTTTTCAGGCAGCATTTGGAAAACCACAGTGTTAATTTTGTTTGAGGCTAAAGAGCTAGTTGTACTGAGAACAATGAGCTCTAAGACCGGGAGGCTAAGTCCTACTTAGAGGGTCTCATACGAGCATAAGCAATAGAGATTTCCTATGTCCAATTATTAAAAAAAAAAAAAACAAAACAGAAAACATTATCTTTATAAAAATTCTGTTTAAATATAGTGTGTTTAATTTGTCTCTGACTCCTCATAGAGATTTCTGCCTCTCTTCTTCATACTGCTTGCTAAGGAGTAGGAACAGAGTAGTCTGCTCCGATGCCTGCTTTCTCCACGTTGACCCACTCCTGGGGCACAGTCACCTCTGAAGGGGCAGGGCACGGCTGTGCTTTCCCACTGCACTGCAGTGCTGAGGGATGCAGCAGGCCGATCGACAGAGCAACTTCGCTTTTGTGTGCACCCAGAAGATGCATGGCACTAGCTGCCTCTGTGATGAAACCTTGTGAGGTAGGGCAGCCTACCAGAATAAAAGAAAAACCAGCAAAAGGAAGGCTGTGGATACCCTGTTCCATGAGGAAGAGTTTCATGGAGGAGAGGTAGCTTGCAAGAGTCACATTCCTCCAAAATGGGGACCGAATGGGACAAGGTGAACTCTACTGCTTACAGGAGCTAAGAGAAAGACAAGTCCTAACTGGAAAAGATTTAGTACAGAAAACAGTAATGGTTCAACATTTTCAGAGGGCTTCCTACGTTTGACTTGGAAAGGCAGTCTGCTGTTTTTAAAGACCTGGGTATAGGGAATTAATATTTCACAGACACTATCTTGTTCTCCGAGTTTCCTGTCGACTGAGTTATTTTATGGGTATGAATGCTACTAATCCATATGTTAATGGGTCAGCTCTAAATAATAGATTACATCCTTTCACTCAAATGTAGTTTAAGATTAGATTAAATTAGATTAAGTATACATGGAAGATTTTAGTTTGTACCTTGACTCAGCAAGAAATAGATGAGACAGAAGGTCATGCTTGCTGTTGTGTCCTCCACCTACACACTTAAAAATTAATCTGTGTAGTTATCAAGACTGTCAAGTAACAAGACTTCAAGATATTAGGGATCTAAGAATAGATTAAAAGTACTTTCTCTTAGAAGGCTCTAGTTTATATACGTTACTCATCACACGATAACTTCTGGTAAGCAAACACAAAAGCATGCTGCGTACAGCATGCCAGTGCAAGTTAAAGGTGAGGCAGTGAACATTTGGCTTACGTTAAAAAAAACCCAAGCCATTAGACCTATCTTGTTCCTTCGATCCAGAGATATGATTTTCATACAGATAGAGCTGGGAGTAGAATGTCTTGCTTTAAGATAGGCTTTACAGGTTCTTATCCTTAAAACTCTTTGCATCCTTGCTTCTTATACATTTAGCTCCTTAAATACCACTAACTCAGCATATGTACGTTGAGCATGATTACTTGTGTGTCTTTCTTCTTCCCTTGGGCTGGTTAAACAAACCAACCCTCAGTTTGAACTTGTTTTTCAGGATGACCAGCCCACAAATATTTCCATAGGTGCCCCTTCTGTTTCTAGATGTTTGCCTCAAAGGGATGCTTATGCTCTCACTGCTATGTTGGAATAAATCAGACTTTATGAACTTGCTGCTGGGAAAACACACCGAAACAGCTCTGCATTTTGACAGGAGTCTTAGAGCCTTACAAAGTGTAGTTTACTTTCCCTTCCTATAGAATAAAGCCAACTGTGAGTTCACTTCTTCACCATCCTCTGTGCAAACCATTCGGGACCCAGCTTCCCAAGCCCCCTCTGTTATTTCCACAGGTCTGACTGCGTTGCTTGCCAGGTTGCTGTTTGGTATACAGCCACCAGCAAGCGCTACGACATAGAGCACTTAGATGCCCAGAAGGGAAGAAAAGTGCTCTCATTGTCTCTGTCCAAGCCAAATGGGATCTTTCCACCGAGGTGCAGTTCATTTGATCTTCTTCAGAAGGGAGACGAGAGTTGAGACATATGCCCAGAAGTTCAGTGAAAATAGTAGCTTGAACAGAATCTGAACTGCTCCCCGTCTGTGCTTCTCCCTTGCTGAAGACTGTGTGAACACCTGAACCAGGGAGCCAGGTACCCGCTGCCATTCCAACCACCTGGCTTGCTGGAAGGACTTGGCCTCAGTAGCACTATCTCAAACTCAGATTTCGTCCAAGAATAGGCTTTTTTTTTATATGCCCTAGCACCAAAACGAGGCTTCTGATTCCTTCCCCAGTTTTGACTGAATGATATTTTGGCTCCCTCAGAGTGTCAAAGCTTTAATAATATTCTAATCCGCTTTATCACCCTTCTGATATCATTATAAAGATTACGACTGTGGTAGCTTCTCTTGAAGGTTGTTCTTCAGACAGATCTTCATTTCGCTGTCTCCATTACTACAGATAGCTGGTGCCAGTTCTCCTTAAACTACACCTTCACAGGGGAGCTTTACAATTATTGCTGTGTTCTAGTCTCCTCAGTTCCTACAGCTTTTCTAACTGTGAGGGTGAGATGATGTGATTTCCTCATCCACTTGCTACTTGGTGAAGATATGTCTGTGTACCCTTAAAATGCAGGCTCAGTATAGAACTCTGCCTGGCATTTAACTGTCCTAAGCAATAGCATTTACAGCATACGGCAGGATCTTTGGACCTGATGCATCCATCACAGTTCAGTCATCTCTAAAGAAACCATCAAAAATTATATAAGGGGAGGATCAGAAATCTGGGCTGATAAAATACTCTGAATTGTACACATTTGAAATTTTGGCTCTTCCCTTAGCTGTTAGTTATGAGAGGGCAATTAGAACCTGTTGGTGTGCTCAGGACCCTGACAAGTTATTTTTAATTTGAAGAGATTAACAAATTCTTGCTCGCCATTAGAAAAAAAGTGTTGTTGATCAAATAATGCATTCCCTCTTTGCAGAATATTTCGTTACCAAACATTCAAAAACCTCCAGAACAAAGCATGTACCTCTAATCTATTCTTAGGTTTGAACAAATTCCACTATCTGTGTTGGAGGGAAATTCTAAAGTCCATAAACAGGCTAAACAACTACTGAAGTACATGGAAATTGGAACACGTATTAAACAAGGATTTGTCCCTAAGAAGAAAAATTCTGACATCATAGCAACAAATTTATAACCTGTGCCAGCATGGCTAGCGCTTTGCAAAACTGGAGGTTTCTAGTGGGGTTATTTTATCCTCATAAAGGACACAGACCCAAAAAAAGAGGGTTGGGTTTGAAACAAACATCCTCCACGTTTCAGGACTGTTTAGACTAGTGGTAAGGAGACAAGAGGTCACACCCCAACCTCAGACTGAAACTCGGTCAAACCCACCAAAACTTTCTTCATTCCAGAAACAAACAAAAAAAAATTGTTGGGAACTCTACCTTTCATGCTGTCAGAGTTTTTTGGAATGGAGATAGACTTTTTACAGCAACTTCTTGATTAGATTTATTCTCTTGCTCTGAGATTTCTCTCTCAGATTTTCTTATTTACTGTTCAGATTGCAAAGAATCCATTCACTATAATGATGTGCAAGGTTGTATGAACCCAGCTGATTTCTGGTGATGGTGAATCAGGGGAAACCATTTTTTCTTTTTTTTTTGTTTTTATTCAGCCTATTAAATCTTAACAACTAGGTCAAGTTGAGTTAATAAGATGTCTCCTCAGTCACCCCCTTTGCTTACACCAGAATTTTACCTTAACCTTTTCAGTCCCCTCACAACTGTTTATGATAAATATCCAGTTTCACCAATAATAAAAGCTAGGAGTGACACCACAGACTGGCTACAGGCGTTCTATTCACCAGCTAAACTACTGTAACGCCAGGGTGGGCAAATGCAGGTAGCCTTTCCAATGTGAAAATTCTAATGTGAAACTTACTTTCAAGATCCCTTTTTGGGTCCTCTGTAAACAGAAGAAGCACCTATCCACATGCAGTCACTGCTTGAGAATTTTGTGAGCAAAATCAGTGTGAAGTGCAAATCTTCTTTGGCTGGCAGTACACACACACACTGGGCACATTTTAGACAAACCTGATGCCCACTTGGCAAGACATGAATTTCTGTCTGCATAAGAGCCCTGTTATCTCTACTTGGCAATATACACAGTAGGAGCCTGCTTACTTGACAATAAAACTTTGGCCTTAATATAATGCCCTTTTCATACTTTACACGGCTAAGCTTAATTAAAAGGAGGATTGTGGAAAATCCTTTCATTTGGCAGTAAACACAGGCTCCTTCACCCAATACAAAGCTAATGGGCAAAGTTAATCATTGGATACTGTACTATTCTGTATGAGAATACTGCACTGTGGAATATACTGCTAGACAGAAACAGCATTGCTATTCAGTAAATCCGGCTGTGATTTATAACGAGACCTTTACTGGGCTGCTCTTGCAATGAACTGGAAGGCAAGAAGGTATGGCTGCCCTGCTGCAAAGAGTTCCTGCGGTTTTAAAAGGCTTTCTGCCAGAAGTAAAGACATCTCTCAGATAATCTTTCCAATCAGACAGCATGTAGCCGATGAAGCTAATCTTTACATTCCCCTTTTCAGGCAGCGACTAACAAGTATCAGATACCTCAGAAGCATGAAAAGACAGGAGGAAACCAGTGTCAGCACTACAGAAAGTAAAAACTGAGACAATTCATGTTACCTTCATGGATTCACTCATGATTATCAATCACTCTGACGTTTCCAAC